ACATGCGTAAGTAGATACAAGATTTAAAAAATGGTACTTTGTACGAATTTATTGTGAATATACACATTGCAAATACCTAACATTACACATTTAAAACATATTAAATAAGATTTTAATATATATTTTTTAATGCAGAGAATAAGTATTTCTGATAAAGGCTATATCTTAGCTTAACATATACTATATCAAGTTTTACATCTGATTATTATTTTGACAGGCCACGAAATTTTTAAATAATACGTGATACAGTTGTAGCAAATCATTATTTTTATTCTTACTTCTCCCGAAAACCATTCTTTTCTAATGCGAAGAAATTTTTTTATTCTGGATAATTATCTAATAGTATTATTTTTGTTATTACCATTTTTCTACTGTTAAAACTTGTTACGTTATATTTTAAATGACATGTATAAAATTTTCAGACATTTTCTATTACTAATACAAAATATAAACAATATATGTTTGGGTAAATGAGTGAAAATGGCAATTTATGCTATTTCTTATGAAATTAATGTGTCTTTAATTCTTACTAAATTAATGTGTATATCAAACATATAACCAGTTAAAATATATTTATTTTTGTAGATATACTTTTAGCAGCAATTGTTCCAATTTTGCTTATGATATTTATTTTCGAAGTAAATAGGAAAAAAATTTACAAATTAAAAAGAAATTTAGAATTTGCTTTTTCGCTGCCTGGTGTGTCTATACTTTCATCTTTTGTCAACTCATTGCAAATTGCTTACAATTATAAAGGTGATTAAAAATGTCTTTAATTATAATTTTAAGGTGTAATATCTATTTAAGTTGAGCTTGATGTTGAACCAAAATACTTGAAGTAAATATCACTTTTTATTTATATATATTATATAAATACCAATTTTTGTCACGTAAATAATTTTATAATTTGCAAGTTTTTAAAACTATTTTTTCAAAAATATCTTGCTAATTTTACAAACGATATTATATGTATAATTTTGCAGATTTACTAAATCATGTAGATTCAATAATTAAAAAATATGGAAACCTTACTCGTCTTATCTATGGAACTAATGTGTTCGTAGTACTCGCGAAACCCGAGGATTATAAGGTAAGTTCATAAAAAAGTAATAATTACGACAGAAAATACATCGAGTTAAATATGCAGTGTGTGCTCGCGAACATAAATGGCAACTACAAAGGTTCAGTGACCAAATCATGGGAGAGATTTCTTGGTAATGGACTTGCCAGAACTTCAGGTATTATATCAGAATATGACAAATATTTGTTTTTTGTACACTTATCTTTTTAACTAAAATGTTGAATTTTATGCAATAATAACACAGTATATAGATTTAATTTAGTAAAAAATTAGTATTAAATTGATATGATG